CACATTAATGATGTGAAATATACGTTAACATCAACGACCAAATGTCGAAGTTTCAAAAGACAAAATGGAAAAACTTTTCAACATTAACTACGATGGGTTTCTGGTAAGAAATGAATAAATATCTTATCAAAATATATATGCAAATCATGGATGTATTAGGACACATTATAATTGATGTTGAAAAGCAAGAAAGAGAAAAACAGAGAGTGAATAATCCCACAATTGCAAATCATGGCATCACCCATTTACAAAGTTGGCAAAAGAGGGCCACAAAATGCCTTACACTAATGATCTGCAGCAACCAACCCACAACTTGCCCTTGTTCCTTGGCATGGTCAAGAGGGACGAGCCACACTTCCCACTCTAAACCTAATGGAGTAGTCAAAAGTGATATAGCAATTTCACTATGGCACATCAAAAGCCAAATCAAATTCGATATTTTATTACATAAAATTTAGACGAGATGATGTGATTTGTTGTCCAATTGGATTCATTACAAATAAATTATTAAATATATTTAGGGTTTAAATAGATTCAATGTTGGTGATCAAATAAAGCAGTTGTTTTTATTTTATTTTATTGAGTTCAATAATTGTGGGTAGGAGATCGAACCATCAATCTTCCATATAGTAATAGGTATCTTATCTACTCAATAGCTTACATGGATTAAAAATGTTGAAAATTATGAATAAAATTTTAAAATAATTACCTTTGAAGAGTAGATGATGTGTCTTTTTAAAATATACAACCTTATAAAAAAAAATTATATATGCAGAGATGTGATTATTTAAACAATATTTTGGTCAATGACTAATTGTCATCCAATTATTTTCAATAAATGATTAAAGTAAATGTATTAAATTTTGAACCAATGTGTTTTCAAATTAAATTGAATAGACATAAAATTGGCAAATAAAAATTTTCATGTCTTCGTTAATTAGATTGACCCGTGCAACAATTGAGCTCAAATCCACGTAAGCCCATATCCACCTATGAAAAAGTTGGGCCCAATTATATGTAATACAAGCCCACAAAAGATTGGGTTAAACCCAAATAAGTCAAGCCTTGGTACAAAGTCCGCCAAGTTTAAGCCATTCACGAAAGAGAAGTTTAAGCCATTCACGATAGAGAAATTTATGGGGATGGCTAAATTTTGCCCGTACTTTTCCAACAATATCTTTTTCTATGTCTTTTTGTCTTTTTTTTATATTCAACCACATAACAAACTTTGTTTTGAATTCAAAATTGTTTAGTTATTTTAATTACTTTGTTTCGTATTTCAATTAATTTAAACGATTTGTGTACAACGATTCATCTCTCATCTCATCGTTCTGCAATCATTCTACTATATCTTCTTAATGTATGTATACATATTTGCATCAATTAGTATATATACCTAACCACTAAGGAGTATGTGCTGTCACAGATTATTTGTATTCTTGTTTTCCTATTTCTTTATCATTTAATAAATCATTTACAACAAAAGTAAATTAAAAAGTCGAAGACTAACAACCCATAAATCAAAACGATTAGGAAAATAGGTGATGCCTCTTAAATTTGTAGCCTTTGGGCGTGTATCGTCATCAGATTCAGTTTGTTAAACTTCTTTTGATGAGTTATTTTTCTTTGTATCATCCTTTAAAACATTAGAAAATTAATCAAAATTAAAAGGGCAATAAATGTATATACCAATTAAAGAAAAATCAAAATTAGAATTCAATACACGTATATATCACAATGAAACTCAATTATGTCAATACATGTATATACCAATTCAAGAATTAACAAAATACGAAAGTCAATACATGTATATACAACTATACAACTCAAATATCATAAGTAGAATGTATATACCAATAATTACCTCACTAGCACGTTCTTCCTCAACTATCTTGAGACTCTTTCCTTTTCTTTGAAATATATGAGTACAGTTAGCTCAGTAAATCTAATTTGTAAATATTACTGTAAAAATTAACAAACAAGAAATATATAAACTACTGCATCTATACATATTTTTCACTTTCTAAGTTGATTCTGCACATTCTTTTGAACGTTCTGTTATACTAGTAGCTTTTAATCATTGTTGAGATGTTCCTCCTCTAACTTTTATTATATCTATAGATTCTATTTAGAATTTAAGCTATATAGTAAGTCTGTTGCAATTGTAGATATATACTTCTCAAATCTAATTATAAACAAAAGACACATGTTGGTCCTACACTTATATTTTTTTTAAATACCCTAAAATATAGGAAAACCAAAAATATCTTTTTAAATACCCCTAAAATAGGCAAAATCTGAACAAATGGTTTTACCTTCACAAAGAGTTGCTAGAAGATGGAAGTTGGGCGGCAGATCGGAAACATATCGAAGCGCAGTAGGTGGATCTGGTTTGGGGCGGCCAGCGGATTGTATCGACCTTGGGCGGACAGTAGATCTTGTTTGGGACGTGGCGCATCAAGCAGATATGGTACGTGTTGCGGCCAACGGGGAGGTAGCAGCGGTTGGGTGCAGCGGCGACGAGTCTAGTTTTGGTTCGTGGATGGCGGTGAAAAGGTGAGTGATGCACGGATCTGCTTCATGGCAAGACGGGATGGTGGCCTTGAAGGTGAATGGCAGGATGGCGGCTTGCGAATCTGCTTCATGAGGAAGACGATGGCTGTGGGGCGCATGAGGACTCCTAAAACCCTAATTTCTCTAATTCAAGTCAAGTAAATTTTATCATTTACCTAGTAATAATCTTATTTAGAGGGGTAAATTGAAATTTACCCCAACTCATTTTTAATAATTTTTTGTTAAACAGATTATAATTTTAAATTAGATTTAAGTTAATTATTTAAATTTCATTCAATAGAATTGATTCCCTAAAATGAATGCGTATATATTTATTGTAATATTTCCCCGATTACGATCTCGTTGTTAAGGCACAGGCTAGCTAAAGACCCAAATTTTTCTTCAATAAGATGGAAGTCAAAGATAGAACAAGCTCATCCACTCTCGAATCAAATTTTATATATGAGAAAAAATATCAAAAAATTATACCTGAAATCATTTATTTCAAGTTTTACTTCACGAAAATACTTTATGACCGGTTACAAATTATCTAAAATTATGTATTTCTTTACTTCACTTTTAAGAAAGAGTTTTTCCTAAAATTTTATTATGTTCTATATACGATTTTAAATTCATTAAATTTTGGAGTTGAAGTAATACATTCATAGGTTCGTCATCTATTCATATATGCATTCATAAGTTAAAAGCATCTATATATATCCGATCAAAATGTCGTGAATTTAAATCTTCATATTCACAAATTATATTAAAAGAATGAAAGATAATTTTTTTAGTACAACGATTTGGAGATATAAAATCAAAGAAAGGAGTACATGTCAATTACTTAGACTCACGTGGGCAAAAAAAAAAGGTATCGGACTAAATAGCCTTTTTCAAAGGCCTATTATGAAATGTGACATATCTCCTCATTTTTTTATTTTGTAAACATTACATCAATTTTGTGTGAAAATACGTATTTACCTTCTTCATTTTTTCTTCAATTTATTACTTTCTCCTACATTCCTCTCTCCTCTCTCCTCTCTATATACAAATTCTCTCTTTCTTAAAAAATTCAACCAACTTTCTCTCTCTTGTTTACGTATGGGAGACATACGTCGAGAGCGAGAGCGTCGAGAGCGGGAGCGAGAGGGGCGAGAGCGGGAGCGAGAGGAGCAAGAGCGAGAGTGCCGTGAGTTGTGTTCTGTTTTTTTCCTTTTTATGTGGGGGTTTATGTGAATTCTTTGTTCTTGGTGTTCTTTGTTGAGTTTTTACCTCTCTAGGTGTGACTCGTTTTTTTGTGCGTCTATTTGTTATTTTGTTTTTGAATTTTAAGCTCCAACAATGGAGTCAACATTGAGAGGAGATGAATGAAAAATAAGGAAGAGAAATGAGAGAGAAAAGTGCATCCCTTCGAAATCAAAACAAAAAAATCCAAAACCAAATGGAAGAAAGAGAGAGGGAGGGAGAGGAGTCCACGTCCTTGAAAAATCTGATAGTGAAAAAAAATCAAATCACAAGGAGGGGAAAAAGGATCGGCAGAGAAATGGAGGAATGAATAAGAGAGAGAGAGTTGAGAGGAAGAGGAAAGAGTAAAAAAAATGAGATATATCAAGGGATAATTTGTAATTTCATATAAAAGTGACGTATTAAAAAATATAAAATTTAGAGCTGTTGATACATTTCATAATTGGTCATTGAAAAAGGGCCATTTAATCCAATTTTCCATGAAAAAAAAAACGAGGAGGGATAATAGTTTGTTACACTAAGAACAAAATTATCATTTTTTTTCCTCGAGAATTTTTTAGGGAAAATGGACAAAATAAGCATTCTATAGGCCTTTTTTAATCATCCTTTTTCAAAACATAGGCATTTGCTGACATCACCCTCACACCAAATGACCCTACCCCTCCACTGAAAATTGTAGTATCTTTCTGTATTTTTTCTAATTACTATTATTCTCTTTCTTCTTTACWGACCACAAAAAGCAATTTACTTAAAACCAGCAGCCTCCATGGTTCCTTCGCTGACGACGGCTACATCAAAACCGACGAAGGATGATAGAATTAATGAGATTGTTTTTTTGATAGTATCTAAAAATTAATTTTGAATTAATGTTTATCAAATCAAATTAATTTTGAGAAAAACGGAATCTCAATATTAATTCAAATTGTTTCCCGAAATCTCTCATCAATCTCCTTAAATCTCTCGATGTAGTTTTAATTATAATAGAGGAAGAGGGAGGATGAAAAAGAGAAACTCCAAGAAAATTAGGGAGAATGAGAAAAAAAAAAAGTTTTGCTGAGAAGAGGAAAAGAAAATAATGAAAAACATAACAAAACAGAGGGGAGGAAATGGCAGAGAGAGGAAATAAGGAGGAAAATCTAAAATATTAGCGAAGGAGAGAGAAGAGAGATGGTGTCTGAAAAGACAAAAAAAAAAAAGCAAGAGGGGCATGGGAGGTTATTTGGTGATGTCTGAGCAGAAAATTTGTATTTTGGGAAAGGGCATTAAAAAACTTAAAAATCCGACTTATTTTATCAATTTTCCCGATTTTTCACGTGGAGGCTTCACTCGTCCAGTCGTCCCGCGCTTCTTTCGAATACAAACTAACCTCCAGAGAAATGGAACCGAACGCATAAACCTTCAATTCCTCCGTCGCAGTTGCTCCGCCGCATTCCGATGTCCCAGCCAATTGACCTCTCCGACGAGGAGGACCAGTTCGCAACACCTCTCCCGATCCACTCCAAGAAACGTCGAACTCAACCGGACGCCTTTCCGAGCATAAACTCCACTGTTCTTGTGCTTGATGATGATCCGACCCCACAAAAACCCGGTCGCACCTCTACGGCCTCGTTCGTGCCGGAGACACCTCTCTCTCCGCCTCCGAGTTCTGAGGTTGCTATTGTTAAATGTACGAAGGCGCATTCTAGGGATTTGAATTCCGAGCAGAAGCTCTCCGGTTAGTGGATTTTATTCTCTCAGCTGATTAATATTCTGTAGTTTTTTTATTGTTTCGTTCGTCTCTCATGACGTTTCGCTTAAATAATTTTCCCGCGCAGTAGTTTTGATCTTAGCAACTTTGTTGATGCTGGCTAAGAATAGTTTGAAATAGATTGGCACCGTTTGTTTGAATTGAACCCTCAGGAATCAGTGGATTGATATGCTTGGAGTCCGACAACGAGTGTGAAAGTGATTCTGAGAAGAAAAGGTGTGGGCAGAGTAATCGGATCGGTTCTAACTGTGATGAAGTGAATAACTCAGGATTAACTTCTAAATATGACTCGGCAGGATCCAGGCATTCTCTTGGTAGGTTCATGTTTTCCTTGTTTTTCTTTCCTTCTCTTTGTCGATTGCTGAAATTCTTTCTGGAAGCGTGTTTAATTTCTGGACTACTCCTTTCTTAAAAATCATCAACATTAATTGAAACGTTTTATCAGGGAATGATGATCGGCAGGAAATTCTTGAGGACGCTAGGCATTCAACCTTTTGGCAAGATGATAATATATATCAGGTGGATCCTCTAAAAGCACGATTATAATATCTATTTTCTTTTGGAGATTGAAGATGTATAGGAAGTAATAATGACGTCTAAATTTAAAGAGATGGTTATTTCTTTATGCTTCGTAATGTGACATTGTTTTCGAGGACACACTTGAAAAATTAGAAACATACTTAATGAAGCTCTTTAAATCTAAAATAAGACACTGGTGAACATTACTCTTGAAATGTCAATTGTTAAGTTACTCATAAATGACCACAAGAGTCTTGCAGCTTTTATGAAAATGAAAATAAAGAGTGCCTAATAACCATATTTCTTGAATCTCTTTTTTTGTGCTTTTATCAAGAATTAGTTGTTCTGTTCGACTAAGTTGGATGTTTGATCAGGTCCATGATTATTCTGAAAAGGAAAATGTTGGAATGGAGCATCGTGATAACACTATAAAAGCAACTGGAAGAAAAGCCAATGCTGAGAAGAACAAAGATATTGATAAAGCGATGAGGAAGAAGGCAACTAAAGATGAAAAAATTCGCTTAATGGAAGAGAAGAAAAAAATGAAGGAAGTAGGTTCTGATTGTCAGCAATGGATTTAAAGATTAACTAGTAAATCTTTTGAGCTAATTTGTTGATTTAAATTTGCAACGTAGCTAGAGAAGTTGCAAAAGGCAGCTCAAAAGGCTGAAGCTGCAGAGATGAAGAAAATTCAGAAAGAGAAGCAAAAGTGGGAAAATGGGAAACTTGCTTTGAAGTCCATTGTCGCAGAAATTGATGCTAAAGTAGTGGAATTGGGATCAGTCGGTGGTGAGGCATCTTTATTTCTATTCACTTGTTATTTATTTAAATTCCAACACCATCCCAAAAAAAGAATTTCTTGTCTTACGTTAGGTCATCTGCTAACAAGGTTGGCTGAAAAGGGGATTACTTTCCGTATTAAGTCTAATCCAATTGAAAGGTCTATTTTGTGGACTATGAACGTCCCGGAGCATATTTCAGAGGTAATTAGTGCTTTCTCCTGATATATGTGTGTATATATATACTTTTTAATGGAGTGTCATCAGTATGATAAAGTCTACAACATGTTACAGTGGGTTTTCCTCCCTAATAAAAACATGTTACAGTGGGGTTTTTTTTTCCATTTTCTTTTAGTAAAAAGTAATTCGTTGGAACTTATAAACATAATGGAAATTAGATTTTCTATCCCCTGATATATAATTATATAGATTTCATTTGTATTCAATCATAACTTTGTTGTGCATAATCTCTATTATTTATTTTTAAAAATATTTTAATTTTTTCTTTGTAGTCGTCCAAGGGACCGGAAATTTCATATTTATTACTATTGTATGAGGCTGAAAACTTCTGTGAGCTTCTGATGAAGGAGTCACTTAGGGATCACGTTGCCAGAGTTCAAAGCCATTATCCATCTTACACTATCTGTTACCTCACCAATAGGTTAATGGCATATATCAATAAAAGGTGAGGGGTTGCACGATTCTATTCAATTATATGTCATTATTATTGTTATTTTTCTATCCCCTTCTTTTATGAGGATTTGTCAGGGCTTCCATATTATGAAATTACAGTTCAACAAAAACTTAGTTGAAAATAAAGCATGGATGAGTGTACGATGGAAGAAAGAGTTTGACGTTATATTAGTTTCTTAATAAAACAACCTTGACTCGTTTCAAGTTTATGATCCTACAATAAGTCATCTCCTGATTTTATTTTTTTTAATGTTGCTTTACCTTTAAGAGTTTTGTCATCTCTTGAAATTTTCAATGTTTCTCAAACTTGTATCAATAATGGTTGAAATACTGTTTTTGGTTACCAGATGGAGTAGGACATGATGTTGATTACAAATGGAACAGTGTCTTATGTCCCTTGGTTGTATTGCTTAATTACACTTACTAAAGTTTTTGTTAGTTAGTTTTGTCATCATTTACTCAAGCATTTGCATATTTGAATTCACTTCTTATCTCGCATTCTATTGTGCACCAGCTTCTTTCTAAATAAGGATATTCACTCACCGTGATTCTTAGTGTAATGAAAAGCTTGCGAGCTTGCAATACAATGGTGCAGGATAAGATTACAACCTTTTTGTAATTTTGGAATCCTGTCCTATATTAAAAAATAAGGATTACATGCTGATTTCAGAATCTTGCCCTCTTAGGCCCCAAAGGTGGCCCCGTTGGCAAGGACATAGGTCTCTTGGTAACACCTACCAAGAGGTCCCATGTTTGAACCTTCGAGTGAGCTTAATACTAAAAAGTCTTAATGTCTACTAGGTCCGGGTCCTGAGGCAGGCGTGAGTGCCCCAGTTATAGGGAAGTAAAGCTAAATAGCTTCAATTCTGAGTTATTAAAAAAAAAAAAGAATCTTGCCCTCTTTTTCTTCATTGATCATTAATTATCTTTTAATAATTTGAAATTGCAAGCACAAGATTCTGAAAATGTAATTTTTGGACTTTCTAGGGAACAGGGGAAGTACAATAACTCGACAAGCAGCAACGTTTGGATACGTCCACCTGTTGAGGAGGTTGAATAATGACCATGAATGAATTTTGAAAATACATTTATCTTTTTTTCCCAATCCAAGTTTTATAGTAGAATGTTGCAGTATAAACTCTCACACGTTTCATCCAGGAATTGGCAAAATTAAGTACTCACTTTGTCAAAGTGCATTCTAGGCTGTGTGTGGATGAAGCCGAGGTAGCTGACCACATTGTTGGTTTGACATGCAGTCTGGCATCCTGCCAATTCAGGTGCTTAATACTGTCCTCAGATTTCAGTCTAGTATAATTGATTGAAGTGTGAAAAGTTAGTTTTCTGTTTACTTGGCTTCAAAGGCAAAGGGAAAGCATAAATTAGTTTTCTGCAGTTAGGTTTAGTAAGGATACTCTTATACACTGTTCATCAATCCCATAGACTAGACATTGTATGAAAAGAATTCTAAATCATGACACTTATACACATATCTTAATCCTTTATAAGTATTATCTATTTACCTTTGCTCGTCTTGAAAAATGCAGGAAAAAACCAACACGTCTATCTGTCAATGCTAATGGATCCATTATACCCAAGGATTGTATTGACAGGAATGTGATAAAGAAAAGCTTGTGGTGAGCTTTTCTCCTCTTTTACTATCAAATCTAACCAACATTTGGTGTCTTAACTTTCTGCATTTGCTTGCTATATCTTATTGAACTTATGACTGTAATTGAGTTACTGTCCAAGAACAACTCTTGTAGCTGTCACCAAACTTCTGGGTTAAAAGCTAAGCAGAGTAGTTGTCATGCACTTGATCTCTGCACCGGTCTTTTTTATCTTGAACATTACTCTAAATCATTTAAAAATCGAAGGTATTTCTTTCTATGTCATTTGTGCTTAATTACGCTTGTCCTGTACCTTTTTTAATGCTTCTAGTTATAAAATCATGTAATATTGTTTCTGGAGTAAAACTTTTTTGTCTATTTCATTTGTCTTCTTTCCTTGCAATCCCAACTTTTTTAATTAGCTTGGTTGGGATAACATACCAATATAAATGGACCCGCTTATTGTAATCAGGTTAAAAGCCTTGGTAGCAATTCCAAAGGTACAGCCACGCTTTGCCGTAGCAATATGGAAGAAATATCCGACTATGAAATCTCTTTTGAGTGTGTACATGGACCCATGCAAATCTGTGAGTATGAACAAATCATTCACCATATCCTTGATTGCATAACCTAGTTAGTCATGGTAGATAACATTTCTTCTCGGTCCACTCATATATTAACAGGTGCATGAAAAGGAATTTCTGCTGAAAGACTTGACGATAGAAGGTCTACTTGGCGATGACCGAAGATTAGGAGAGATTTGTTCAAAGAGAGTGTACAGGATACTTATGGCTCAAAGCGGAAGCATGAAAACTGATGACGTTGAGGAGGGTGCTGACTTCTTCAGATCCTAATTGTCTTGATTAATTATCCTATCTAATTATCGACTCCACTAATTTAATGCAATAGCTTATTGCGAGTTCACTATCACAGACAGTTTGAAGGACTAGAGTGTCTCATTTCTCTCTTACAAATGTCCCTTGGAGGTCTGCGAGGCTACTGCCTAGCAACTCGTGGAGCAAAGGGTAAGTAAAGAAATTGCTGTTCTCCAGTAACAATTTCTTGGATGAAGGAACCGTGGATGATCTCATGAACAAGGTAAACAATTGTACAAAAAAGAGCTTCTTGGTTCTTGTGTATAATTGGTTTTTCTTGCTTTCTAGTAGAGCAATTTCAACTAGAGGGAAGCCAGCACTTCCCTTGTGCTGCTCAGAATTTCTACTGAATTCTATCCATTCTTTAGTGTCCAACCATATTGACTTCTGCTCTTTTTTGCATCAATTTGCAGTTGGAGGCTCTGTCAGAGACACTGTTAATATTGTTCAATATTTCAGTTGCCAATTATGGTTGGTTATTGTATTAATAGTGTTCCAGTAGTTGAAGTGAATTGATCATCTATATAGACTTCGTAAGGCGAACATATCTCGATCTGGTATCAGAACTTCAAAAGCTAACTGCTACTTTGTTGTATGAGTCAGAGATCAAGAAACAAGTCTTGGTTGCTATGCATGGTTTTGATATTGAAAGATACATTGATGGTGAACCCTGAGAAGTTTGTAGTTAGTTAGATGAATCTACAGTATTCTTTATTGAGAAGACATGGCATATTCTTTTGCAATTGTGCATTTCTTGTTTCATCTTTTCAAGAATTTTACTTGAATTTTGACCTCTTCATAGGTTGACGTTGTTACAAAAATCAAACACTTGATAAAAGTGCGAAAATGATATCTTTCGCTTGCTAAAGTCTCTCTAACGAGTAAATGATAAAGGTTCGAGTGATCTTGTTGTAAAGTTTTCAACCACTAGGTAGGACTCAAAATAGCCCACAAATATGCAACAATGCCCAAAATTTTCAATCATAGAAATCAATCTCCCTATCTATCAATTTGAGGGAATATGTATTGCATTAAGTCTAAAATTTTACAAAAATAACATAAATGGTAAATTTATACAATTACGAGACCAATCAAATGTCACGTTTGTTTCAGCCATTTAGTATAATTTTCGAATAAATTGATGTGGGGAGCATTTAAAGACATTAGATTTCGAAAAGGAGAAAAAGGCACAATGATGATGTCAGTAATGACAATAATTTGGTAATATTACTTTTCTCTCAACTACTAATATTCCAATTTTGTGGTAGTCTCATCCAAATCTCTCCCAAAGTGGTAGGGAAAAGTCGAAATCAGGTCTTAAATTTAATCCTGAACAAAAGGATGACATCATCTGAAGCATAGTGGAATTCTCACTTTGTAGGGTTTGTAATTTGTATATTCCCAACAGCATTAAATTATAGTTGGCCATGGCCATACCTTTAATCCAATTCACTATCATTCCCTACTCCAATAATTCAAAGCCCTCCACCACACTAAAACACCCACTAATCCATACTGCCACTATCACCACTTGTGTTATGAATGAATCCATCTTCACCAACAGAAATCTTACCTAAACTTACAACTCATCTCTCTCAAAGTTCATGTTTTTTTTTTCTTTTAATTTGACGAGGGTAGAATGGAGAATTTGAATCTTAGGGATAAGGTTAAATCAATAGAGTTTTGTGGGTTAAATTAAATGAATACTAATTGGTGCATCTTGGGAGAGAGCTCTACATGTAAGAATTGAGAAAATACAATTCTACCCCATAAAATAGTAAAACCAACTTTTTTTAATGCTATATGCTTTTATTGGATAAAAACTATTGGTAACATCAAAGAACATAAGACGTGAACAAGAGCTTGCCCGTACTGGTTAGGAGCAGTGCTATATTTTCTGTTAAAAACCCTCTAATGAAATTTTTTTTTTTTTTATAATTAGACTTTTGGAACTTAATAGCCAAAAAGATTAACAAGAGGCATTGTTTTCTTCGCCTTCTTTTCCATCTTACCATCACCAGCTGATTTATTTGTTTGAACATCCAACCGCATTATAAATATATTGAATGCCACAATGCTTGTATCATAAATAATTACTCTTTTGTAATAATTTGTGATGATGTAACATAGAAACAATGATTTATTACTATCCAGACGATAGGTGTTTCTAATATTCCTCCAATTGAAAATATTAAAAGAACTTTTTTTTAAATCTCAAAAGTCGTACAGCAATTCTTTTTGTCACTAGAATATGAGAGAGCAAGTGTCTAAAAGACACACACAATGAAAAAAAGTTTTCAAGTAAAAATATACTTTTGTTAGGAGTCAAAAAGTCCATTAATTTCATCGTTTCGAGTGGTAAAATACTATAATTTAAAATTATAATCTAAAACAAAGTGAAGGATATCTACTTATATTATATTATATTATATGACACAAGTACAGTTCCTATTTTACCCTTCGATATGATTTATATGCATAGGTTTTTTCAAAAAAGAAAAAAAAAAAGAAAAAAGGATTTATTGCATAGAAAGGCTACTCTAGTAGCATATATTTATAGGAGAGAGGACATAGTTATGAAACATATCCAAAGTTTCTAATGATGGACAGAAGCAAATCATTCTGTGGGTCTTACTCAAATGTGAGGTTTGGATTTGAGGACAGACCCAAATCATACAGCTTCAATGGCACAATCAACAAGGAAGATGGGGACAATCCAGAGCTCAAGAGGAGGCAAAGAGTAGCCACTTACAATAGGTATTCAATGGAAGGTAAGCTGAAGAAATCCTTGAGGAACAGCTTCAAGTGGATCAAGAACAAGTTTTCCCACAGCTTTTATGATGACTGAATTGGAAACTTTTCTTTCTGTAAACCATTTTTGTGTTCTGTGCTCATCTTGTTCATCTCCTCATAGTCATATTCAATGAAGAGGAACGTTTCAAGTTCATTGAAACTACAAGGATATGTGTACTTCTAAATCACATGCATGTAATATCATCAACTCTATGACTTTGACTATCTTCACAATGATCCCCAAGCATAATTCACTATACAACTTAACAGTCAGTAGTAATACTGTAAAGGTTAATAAAACAATATCTTATGGTATATGTTTTGCCTGGCATGGATGAGCAAGCTTGGGATAAGATCATAAGCTAAGGGAAATAAATAAAATGTCATTATACTTCAGGTGATGGTTTGCTTCAGAGACCAGAAAAATAGATTGCTTCCAGTCTTCCGCAGCTCCAGAACCCTAACAGAAGTTCAAATTTGTATCGTCCTACACTATTAAGTACTGACATCTGATATAGATGCAAGTCTTCACACAATTTCAAAAACTTCATCGGAAGCCAAACATAAATAAAAGAAACAATTGCATTTTTTTTCTCTAAAGGAATCCAAATCAGCGTTCGTCCTCCATCTTACAGCAGGATGGCAGGAGTTTAAATAAATAAATGAAGGCACCATTTCAGAATGTCTGAACAGTCGAACAGTAAAATAAATTAACATATACCCAATGACTTTTGGGGTAAAAAACTGAATATTATGATTTTGGCTAATAAGTAACAAATTAAACGAGTAACTTGAGGACACCTCCCACCCACATCCCCAATCTCTCCCAAAGAAGGGAAAGAAGACAGTTTAGTATGCAAATGAGCATGAAATAAAGGCTGCGTTTGGTATTCAATAGACTACTATTCTTTATCTGTCTAATGGTGCATTGATTGCTTATCAAGATAAAGGCTGCGAAGATCCAGGGTAGAAAGTGACCTTTGATAGTAAGCAAGTGCACTGCCTTCTTTGGGGTTGATGATGTCTGTGATGGAGGCCTGCAAGAGGGTAGAAGCCTGCAAGAGGTTTGGGTTTTTTATGTTCTTAACGGCATTAGGATGACCCTCGGTTTTAGGGGATCTTTTCCCATGTGATTCAAGATTTGGAGAAAGGGACATCTCCATGTTCTTTACGTGCTTAAATTTAAAACTTGAGGAAACGCTGCTTGACGTGCTCCCCGTCCCACGGCTATAAGTGCTTGGATGTGAACTATTCTCCTGAAAATGTCAAAAGAGTCGGTTTTTTCTCTTTAAGATCCAACATAGGTATCAGTAGACGTACCAATTCAAAAAGAATGAATATCTTCAAATGATCCACTTTGTTTGTTAAGAGCTTAGCCAACAATGAGAAGGTAGCTTCCTACCAGATGGTCAGGTGAACATTAGCAAGTTTTTAGAAGTCAAGGAATCATTTAAATCAAGTGTTTATTTGAAAAGAGCAACTGAGTTGAAGCAAATTAAAAAATAAAAATAAAAATAGAATTAGGAAATCAAGACCTCAATCCGAAAATCATGAAGCAACTTTTGTAAATTCTATGAATCATCAAGTGACGAAAATCTTGCAGGAAGATTCCAGAACTATTTTCTTAATCTCAATCCGGAACATAATTTACCATAAACTAACAATAATATTTTAATGTGAATATAATGGCTAGGGTGTCTATCAATCTAAAGCAATATTTCAGTTCAATTAAAACAATGACCTTTTATATGATAGATCATCTGTTTAGCGGGTACAATTGAATATTTTACATCTACTTCCATTCATCCAGTTCTTATTCATAAATTAAAATATATATATATATAGTGGGTAATATCCAAATTTATGTTATAGTAAATAATCCGTCAGAATGAAAATGACTGGTTATTCAAGCAGAGATTTAAAAATAAATCTTCAAAGCAATCGATCTTACTTCTTAGTGATGTTTTTTTTTTTAAAGTAAAATAAAATGTAGAACACTACCTCTTTCAAAGATTCGGAGTCTCTAGTTTTGATTGCGTTAGCTACTTGCTGAGATTCAAGACGTGTCTGAGATGAGTGCATCCTTCTTGAGCTCTTGTGCCTAGAATATGGAGAGATACAAGTTCTAACACATTAGTAATGAGTTTCTACTGCTCTGAATTATATACTAACCAGTGTGTTAAGAGAGTACAGAAAAGTTAAATGCTATTCTTTATTATCCTAAAAAAACGGGATGCAGAACTTCATTTCTGCCATGCCTCCATTCAAGAAGATAATATTTACGTCTTAACACATCATGCAGTTTCAGTTCCACCTTTTAAGTAAATAGGGCCATGGAAAATATGCAAATATACTGCTCAAGGAACTTTTGGGAAGACACAAGCAACGAGACAGAATTTAAATGAATGGTATATGAATGTGTCGCTCCCTGTCAACTATACAGCTGACCAACTAAAAATTGAAATGAGGTTGATAAAAATAATAGGTTGATCACATAATAAAGGGATATCACTTTCAGAACCAAGAAGCGTACTTCTTCCTATTTCTGTTTTTAGCTGGCTCATCCTCGATGTGGTAAATCACTGGTAGATCTGAGAGTTGACATGCCACTGGATATGAACTGAAGAACTGAAAGCAAAAGATAGCCGTTAGAATAACATATAAGAGCATTTTATCATGTATTACAGGAAAGAAATGGAAGGGTTAACAAACTTTCTACTTATGTCTTACTATAAATTTCCAGGAAATATGAAGTTTTGATGCCCTTGCGTACTGGTTTTAGCTTTTGGACGGTGTATCTTTTACTCCCCTTTCACAAATTATCGTCTTAAAAGATCTCATGTCAAACTAGGTCTTTCTGTAATTCAGTTCATGGAGATCTTTTATATCTCATATCATCAATAAAATATCCACCTCCAAAAAAAATAAATAAATAAGTCTTGAAGTCCTTGAATTAAGGTGACCTAGGGTAATACTTTTCTGTTGTTGCCCTTTCATTAATCCATAAACGTACATTTACGTTACTATCAAGGTTAAAAGCTTCCCAGTGCAAAATTAATAAGATTCTTTGGCAGATTGGCCCAGAAAAGAGTTTGACGGTGGAATTACGACATGAAGTTTGATTTGGTTTCTTTTTTGCTGTATGATTACAACATTTGATTGATGGATGTTATTGGTAAAAGACACCTTGTTTTCTCCACTCAACCTTACTATACTGTGTTTGACAAATCCACTCAACCTTACTAAACTATGGGATTTTAAAATATCATCATAAGTTAAGTCCATCTTGATATTAGTGAAACCTCAAAGCAACAAGTTTGAAGTAAAAGCATATAACTCTTTCGTTTCAATTAAACTAGCTAAACAAATATTGTTTCTATTAAACTAGCTAAACAAATATTTACCACATATTACAAGGGATTTGAAGTTTATACTTACTTCACTTTGAAGAGCAGACGATGCAGTACCACGACGTGCTGGGTCTAACGAGAGAAGTGTAGTTAAGAAGCGAAATGAAGGTGTAGAAAATCCTGAGAAAGCCTCTGGGAAACCAGGTTGATAATTTTGTGGTGGACAGAAGCTTGCAGGTAACTTCATTTTTTCCCAGTAATCCTTGGCTGGTGAACCACAAAGCTTAAAGATTCTATGAAGTTGTTCGACCTGAATAGGAATGAAGCTTGATATATCAATCGATTTCCAGTAAATATAATAGATGAAAATCCTTGTGAGAAAGAAACCTATCTAAAATATATTAACTGAATGAGAGTAGTGTAGTACAGATCTATGAACCATTATGATATTTCTTCATATTGCACTCTGAGGGTTTTGCAGATGTGAATGAAGGCATCGCAACAGAAAGTGGCATCACACACATAAAATTCAAATTTAGATGACAAGTAATTCATGTCCAAAAGGGGATAGGGATTCAAGTTAGCCCCTAAATCTTTCTTGACAGGAAGAAAGGGGAAATGAAATTCTTCTGGGATTTCCTATAGTACAAAAGAAATCTACATTTACAAAAGTAGATATTGAAAGAAGAAAATAATTGCTACAAATGAACGTAGAGAGAGAATAACAAGAAAAAGTAAAATTCTCTTAAAGGTGTTCAGTACCTAAACACCTAAGTTCCACAGGTTGTGTTTAGAAAGTCTCTACCTCTGTCCTCCCAGGCAAAATTGGCTTTCCAATAAACATCTCGGCTAGAAGACAACCTGCACTCCACAGATCAATACCAACTCCATAATCTGTAGAACCTAACAGCAATTCTGGAGCTCTATACCAGAGTGTCACAACTCGGTTTGTAAGGGGACGTCTTCTTTTAGGAATGAAATGATTGGCTAGCCCAAAATCTGCAATTTTTAGCGTCCCACTTTTATCAATGAGCAAGTTGGAAGGTTTAATATCTCGGTGTAAAATTCCCCTGTCATGGCAATGCTGAAGACCAGATAGTAGTTGCTGCATATAGGCCTTCACCTGGAAAAGGATAGCAATTTCAAGACGTTCACAAAGTACTAAGAAGGATGATAACTCTTACCAATATATATATATATATATATATATATATATATATATTTATATATCTTGATGAGCCCAGCCACAAAAGTTCCATCCTACGTCGATATATAATTGTATGATAATGCTAAAAGAATGCCAAAGTTAATGATTGTTGACCAATTGCTATAGAACTTCCAGGAATAGATAAATTCATACCTGAGCTTCATTGAGCTTCTTGCCGAAACGAGAGATTATTCCAGTTAAGTCAGACAGCATAAAATCAAAAACAAGATAAAGGCTGTAAGGCATTCTTGATGTGACTATTCCTTCAAGCTTGATGATATTGGGATGATCCAGCTTCTGCAACATCGTGATTTCCCTTGCCATGAATTTGATACTATCAGAATCCGATGTGTCAAATCGAACTTTTTTCAAAGCAACAATCTTTCCTGTGTCCCTGTCTCGAGCTTTATACACATTGCTGTATGTCCCCCGACCTACCTGCAAACCCCAAACATCAAACGAATTTATAGCTCTTTCCTTACCATCCGGGATTTTTCTCTTGGTCAGAGGTGGTTTGTGCTATTGTATTATTTCATATATTTTCAAATTTACCAGTCAGAACTATTGGCAGGCAACAGAGAGCTTATTTAGACGAAAAGTGGGCTGAAGAGAACTAATGAAACAAACCATTCCTTTTCTAGGTAAGGGGTGGGCCGTGGGGGAATTGGATGAAAAAAGGAAACAATTAAAATGATTGACGAATAAAGAGAAACAATTTTTTCCTGTTGCAGAGTTTCATACTTCTCACCTTCGAACTCTAAAACATTCGACGTAATGGAAAAGAAACTTAAATGGCAATATGTCATAAGATTACGCACTCTGCAACATTAAATCATAGGAATCAAGCACGAGCAAAGAGAAATAAAGTGAAACGAACAATGACCTTAGCCAATTTGTCATAGGAATCGGCACTTTTGGGAACCAAACCTGCCAAAGCTTCTCTAGAAATATTTTCAACCAGCCACTTCGGCCAACCATCCACAAGCTCTTCTCCTCCGACAATCTCAGGCACATTCATCCTCCTCGAAACATTACCAATATCACCACTCTTCTCCATCTTCTTTTCGACAAAAACGACTTTTCTAACTCCGCCATCATTCACAACACCCGAGGTTCTCCCTACCTTACCGGACGGATTCCGATCGACGGAGCTCCTCCGATTCCCTCCGGCGACGTAGTGACGTTCCACATTAAACTTCCGAGCGCCAGTAGTTGGCGAGTACTCGAAGGAATTTGACTGAACACACCCCATCCGTCGTGAATCGCGAAATCGTCCACCGTTTGATGCGAATCAAAGTTTCGGTGAAAGCTAGGCAGCATAGTAATGAAATAATGGCGACATTGAGGGATGTATAATGGGGATATTCCTGTACAGAAACCTGGAAAAGAAGTTGTGATGATTCCATCGTCCAGAAGCCGGCAGGATTTGGAATGATGCCGAAGGGGAAGATGATCGAATAATTTGGCCGGATTGAGTTGGAGTTATTGAGATGTCCGAAGCAGAAAAATTAATCGCCCAATTTTGGCGGGTGAAACGTAAGGGATAATTGGAAACATTCCAATCCTCGCAGATTTTTCAAAATTTTATTATTGAAGTTTAGGTTTAAATCTCTTTTTCAAAAAAAAAAAAAAAAATCATTAGTTCAGTTTTAAAAATAATAAGAATAATAATAACATACATTTTGGTAATTAATTAATATATATTCATCAAATATCTACTCTAACCAGTCTCTATGAGCTTTTATACGTGCATATTTCTATATTGGGTATCACCTTTCTATTTAAAATAGTTGAATGTAGATGTAATTATTGTTGGGACTAAAATAAACAAATTTGAAAATTATTCTAAAAAAGAGATTTGAAAAATTAGAATAGGAGTAACTCAAAATTTTAGAAATTAAAATAGGTATTTTAAAATTTTAAAGACTAAGATGCGAATCACTTTAAACATTGTTAGACAATTTCATTTAAGCCTATAATGAAATAATATATTAGTTCAATTTCAGTTTTATTTATTTAAAAAGTAAATATGATAAGTTCTTTTTTTTTCCTTTTTCAAGTTCAACAATGGTAAAGATGAAATCTTCCATACTTACACCATGCATGTACTCAATTGATAGAGATGAAAAGATTTTACCCTATCATCATAGATACACTAATGCTGATTAATTATTTGCTATTTTTAACAACTTTATTGCGTAAAGTTCTATAAACCATTTTTTAAAAGTAAACTCTTATCAACTTTCATTTTTGGAAGATAAACTCTTATCTACTTAATATCTTATATTAATTATTAGTTATTTAATTAAATTATACTTTGTAACTTGTAAGTTTGCATGTCATCTTGTTAATTATAATCTGATCCCATTTCTACGTCTATACCAATGATTAAGTTATCTCATCTTTTGACTATTGGGCAAAGCAACTGAGAATGATTAATAATTAATTTCACTTTTTTTTTCAAGGAAACAAAAAAGTAATTTGTTTATTTCAAAAAATAACTAATTTTACTAAATCAAAATTTGATCAAATAATTATAAATTTCCACCTAAGAAAAATAGTAGTATTATTATAAATACGAAAAATAGAGATGTTTTAAGATTAAAATGCAATTTCAATTAAAATGATAGTTAATCCCAGCATAACTTAGCGAATAAAGCATGTAAAACTATTTTAGATATTAATAGTTTAATGATGCAACCTACCATTGTTAAATTTAAAAAAATATATATATCATGGTAAAAGGGCGTGTTTGAGAGTAATTTTGACATGGCCAAAATTACTTTTGCTATTGTCAAAAGCAGTTCCCTTTCTATCAATCATGTTTGACAAATTAAAAAAAATGATTTTAAAAAAATTTTAAATCACCTTAAATTAATTTTTAAGATATTACTTTGACGTTAACTTTGAAAAATCAACTATACTAAAATCTATTTTTTTTCAAAATCACTTATTCTACCATCACTCTCAAACACACCTAACATTTAGCAAAACTTTAAAATTTACAACTAAATAAAAAAAAAAAGTACACACAACCCATCCGGATAAAGATAGGTGTTTTAACCAATTTATTCAAATCAAGTATAGAAACAATTGAATTTCATAGGCTTTTAAGCTTAATGTAAAAAGCTTCAATAACATTCAAGCTTATTCATGAAGCTTAGAATATATTCATTTCATGCACAAACCAAAATAGTTCAACTACAGACTGCTGAAACAAAATCACAATCATTTGGCAATTACATTTTCTTCATAAACATTTGACAAAATGTATTGTATCTATATACCATCTCTAGACAACAAATCTAATGTCTAAAGTTGAAGCCCAGGTCGAAGCAGGAGCTTCTGTAGTCGCAATACATAGATTATACTGACTAAAGCTTCAGGATATTTCAAGTGAAGAATCTATACAGTTACAAATGACATGCCAAAATATTTGCAAATGAACGTACTATACTTGTCCAAAGTTCTTAACCAGTGTGTTTTGTAGGATGAAATTGGCTCTGTATCGAATATCTGTTGGGGAAAAATATACCATCCCCGCCTCGCTAGTGTCCCAATGCTCTCTTCTCGGGTCTTCAGCCTCTCCAAAATTCCTGTCTCTCTATATGCTGACAATATCTTTATTGCTATCTGACAAATCCACTCATGCTAAGACCATCCCCACTTGAGGAGACCTTCCGGGAAACAGGTAAGCCAAGATCAAAGGGTCCTAAAGAGTCGCTCTGGATAGACCATCAAAGAGAATCAAAATGTTATTCGCAGGTATTAAATTTTCACCTACATATCCACATTTCTATATAGATTCGAGATCAACGTGAGGACAACATTTCTATACAAAATTTCACTAATATCACTAATATAGACCTAATATAAATATTAATTATGGTTATGAATTCTTTATTTTTATAATTTTTTCAGAAACATCCATGTACATCCACGTTTGAAGCGTTCGCTACTTGCGAGAAGAGGAAAAGGGAAAGAAATGGGAGAAAAGTGTGTAAAATTATAACTAGGCGTACCCATTTGATTCCTGACAGCCCAAGGCTACTTTCATCGTGATAAACCCGCGAACAGAATATCAGATCTGTCTTGGATTCTTTACCAGCAAGATCTTGAGAAAGCTCAGATCGACCGTGGACCTGTAAACGATGGCAATGGACCAATGGTAAAAGCCCTATCGAAAACAAAATGTCTAATATAAAAGATTAAAAAAAAATCATAATTTATTAGCTTAAATTTATAGATTTTATGATAGTTTAAATATATCAGAGAGATCCTAAATTTAAATCCATTTTTTAGAATGTTAAAAAATATATGTGAAAGATTAAATATACCAGAAGTTCATATTTGAAGTTGAGTGTTTAACAATTACACACCACAGTGGCGTCGGCTCACTTTCATGTAATTGTTGGCACTGAATCAAACAATTGTTTGTATGTGTAACTCATTAATCTCTCTCCCCTTAAATCAATTCTAGACTTCATCAATCAAATTTTCTATCCCATGTTCCTACGTAAACGGTTGTATAGAAAACATACGGATACCTAGAGTTGATTTTAAATAATATCTAAATTTGAGTTTTCTACCAGTCACAAAGATTTCTAATCCACAACTTGAGTTTCTAGCACGGGAACATAAACAAGATGGATGTTCATAGAACAATTTTCAAATGAAAGAGACAAACTTAATTACTCGACCAGGGAGATATCAACTCCATGTGACGTTCTTAGATAAATGTTCAAATAAAAGAGACAAACCTGAGATGTTTTAGGAAATTTGAATAACTTGGAACCGGCATCTTGGATGGTGCCCCCAGCACTGGGATCTAGAGAGAGAATATCTTTGCTCGAGGAAGAGAACCTTTTCATAGGAAATGCGTCACAAGTCTCCTCGGCATCCAAAATAGACGAATGTTGCTCGTTATGGGGCTGCTTTGGAACTTGAGAAGAACTCATCTGGGCCGCAGCAATGCATGCGTCAAGTGAATCAGTTATCACTTGAGTTGGCTGTACGCCTGTACTGCCACCAGTTATCTTTGAACCCCAGCTACTGCATTTTCCCAACAAGGAAGCTTCAGACAGGAGGCCTCCCATGCTTATGTTTGAAATGCTATCTAACTGCAGAATTCCAGACTTTGATGACATATGAAGACCAGAGTCTAACGGTGGCCCATTATCCTAGTTTTGAAGCAGTGTCATCAAGTTTCAGAAAATCATAATATTTGCTGTAAGCTACAATGGACGTTTAAATAGAATCATTTGGTTCGTCAAAATATATATATATATATCAATCATGTGTTATCTGCTTGTTTTCGAAAGCAAAGATTATAACCCTTATCGAATTGTAATGGTTCATTGCATAGACCTCACAAGCAATGTGAAGGGAGAAAAATAATCATGTAAATTTAGTTACTATTTCTAAATAGTTCTCTCTCTCTTGTAGTAGTGTTCATTAAAAATTTTAATAAAACTTTTGGAAGTTGAATATAATACCATCGGATTAGTAGGACAGTCCACAATCTTCTCAGATGCAGCAGTGTTATTTACATCATTCACGTTGCTTGATTTCACCTCGTCCATCATTTCCTCAGATAGTTTACCTTCCCCATGCACCATTTGCACATTACTACCACAACCTTTCTCCAAGCCTTTCGAGGATGAATGAAGTTCGAAGGGAATGGACGTGGAGACCCACCCGTACCTTGAAAAAGAGAGTAGTTTAAGTTAATGCAGTTAACTGAAATGGCTAAATAAATTATTAGTGAGGCAAATGATACAACTGTGCACCTTAAGCGGAAAATTGAAAAACCTCCAACGGCTGCATAGACATCTCCAGCACTGATGTCACAGTCGTTCAGAGTCCATTTTAGACCACTGGCAAGACTTGGCGGCTTACTATATGGAAAAAGCATGAGCTCCCCTCGTTCCACACTAGATTGTCCCCACTTGCTAATAAGATGATTTAATACCGAAGAAATTTTCTTTCGAGCCCTTAAAGTTAGTTCCAAATGTGGATGATAGCCATCCTACAAGAATATAAGGCATATTTTTATCACATCTCAAATATGAACTGAGGTAAAAATAACATAGTTATCTGTGCTCACTCGATCCTCAATGTTTTAGCTCATGACACTACCTTTTCTAATGCCATGCGGGTCTTCTCATTTATTGGAAAAAGTTGAAGCTTGATTTTTGTGCGAGGATGGAGCGTCTGTGTGGGATGAAGATCAGCAAGAGCTAGCCTCTCTGTCATTTCTGTTGGATTAGTCCAATTCACCGAACTCTGAACATTCTTCAAGTCATCTGCACTAGATCAAAATTTGTAGTCTGTAAATGCCAGTCTGGTAAATACAGAAAACAACTGCACGCAACGAAATCAGTTCTAGATAATACGAGTGAATACGCTAGGAAAGTCTAGACATCAGTTTAAAAAAGACACAAATTCGTCGTCAAACCTTCAATGTATGCATTTTCAGGAGCTTTTATCTTCTGGGAAATTCTCTTTCTAGATTTATGAACACCAGTAGTGTCAGCAGATTCCCCACACCTTTTCCGCGACTTTTTTGCTCGTCCATCCGGGTGCCTGGCTGTTTTCATTATGTTTCAACTTTCCAGCACTGATAAGGTGAGAAGAATCACTTGAGTTATTTTTCCAAAAAGGAAAATTAAGATGGCACAACCTGAAACGGCTAAGAATCAGCAACTTCACCATCATATATAACCGTGTGTTCCATGCTACTGTGAGCTGCGGCAGAACCGAAAGTTTTTATAGGGATTGGCAAAATTTTAGATCCTAACCTTTCGTAAATAATTTTTTAGGGCAAATTGGAAAGAATACTTCAAAATCTTAATTTTTAATATAATTTTTGTAATATAAAACAAAGTTCCCCTCTTTCCTTCTTAGCTCCACCTCTGATAGTGAAGAGGCTGCACACGAAATTACTAATTGAGTTACAGAAAACCTAATTCCAAAAATTGAGTTAAAGATCTTCCTCATGGTCTTAATCCTCCCTTCCCCATAATAACGATGATGATGTAATCTATGTTAAGCAGACAAAACCATAAGAGATCACTACCCTCGGAAACGTACCTACACAAGGATCAGAAAACTTCCAAGCATCCTTGGGGAGAACTCTATAGAGAGAAAAAGGAAAATCGCATATAAATCACGCACTCAAAAGCCGCAATCAGTACTTCAATGATTGAAATTTTATATCAACCCAAACCAGACCTGTAGATAATGATCAAGATGATAAAACGTGATGGTGATAAAGCATGATTTATTAATTCTTTTTGAAACCTAGAAAATAAACATAGCTCGACATCAAAAAACACCGCACTTAGTACAACAGACTACTAAAATTCCACATAACGGGAACCAGAGATTCAATGAAACAAAACAGAAAATACCATTACACGCTGCTAATTGAACAAAATAAATAGATATACGAGTTGAATTCTTGAGTTGGAGAGAGAGAAAACGGAAAGAGAAGAAAATAAGTACAACCCAAGGAGCTATCAATCAAGATCGATTGAATTTTCGAACAAGAGCTTAAGCAGATGACGAAGACATCCAGATGCTTCAGAATCTCCGGAACCAGAAACACTGTGTTGCAGAGAGATTTTGAATTAAGGCGTGAAAATGATAACGCGGGAAATGCAAAATTTTCAGATGTTGAGTCGGTTGCCGTTCAAGCCGGACATTTTCGCTCAGTCCCGCCTTATATATTCACTATTCCACCGATTTGAAATGACAATTTTGTCCTTTTGTCATTTTTCATTCATTACCTCCATCTTCTAAAATATTTGATAATATAATTTTGTATGTGTAATTATAAATATAGTCCTTTTTAAGTATTTTCCTATTTTATTAACACAAAATCTTAAATCTAAATGAGTAATTAGTTGGTTGTGTTCCATTTTTGTTGAGATTTATAGTTTTTTATTATAATATTATAAATATGTAATATGGATTTTCGAATGTTTCGTCCTTATTATTTCAGGGTTGCAGATTTTTTAGCTTGGGTATTAGGTTTTTTTCTTTTATTGAGTTTTTTCTTTTTGTTTTTTACTTTTACTACTTGGCTTCGGTGTTAGTAACTTGTAGTTACATTTTGTGCAAGTATGTGGTGTGGATTTAAGTAGAAATATCAATACCATACTTTTTATTTTTTATAATATAATATTACAATTTTTTTAATAAATATAATATAGTATTACCTTACAAATTCACGAGGGAGATAATTGAATACTTTTCCTAACAAAATAAATATTTTTAACCTTTTATCTACACCAAAATGTTACAATTCGATAGCACTAGGATTAGAGATTATTTTCCATCGTGCTTGTCTCCTACCTTAAAAAAATTCTTCAATGGTCAATGGGATAAATATCCTATACATAATTTTATTCGAAAGGGATCACAATCGGATTGTTGACACTCAAATAATTGCTCATTAAATGGACAATATCCGTTGTTTATGCACAATCTAATAAAAAGGCAAACAATTTTAACCATTTGCATTGTATATCTAATTACTTGTATGGTTTAAATGAAATGTGTGATGGCATAATGATATATTTGAGAGATTTTTTCTCTCAGCCCATTAGCAGCTTAATTAACTAAACTAATTAAATATTTATTTTCAAGAAAAATATAGTTTATGATACTTTTTATCATTAGATTTTAGATAAGTGTTTGCAAATTATTATGGAGATTTGTTCAATGGTCCATGTCATGTTGACTCTCCCCAACTTAATTTGGCGTCTTTGACTTGTTAATATTCAGTCTTCAATGAAATTGTTATATATATATATATTTTATAAATACAAATACAAACGTTGTCTTCATAAAAAAAAGAATAAAAGAAGTAAATTAGTGGGGGATGTACACATATCTAAAAAAAATAAAATGAAGATTATTGGTAAAATTTTGTAATTTTCATTTGTTTTTCCTTCCATCTGACAAGTGAAATAACGTGTCAATCTAATAACTTATTTTGTTAATTAGGTGAATGTTAGGTAAGTATTTAAAATTTGATAACACCTGTAAGGAATTATAATTACAATTATATATTATTGTATTACTTTATTATTTATTTATTTTTTTGAAGTTATGGTCGAACTTAGACAAAAATAAATAATAATAAATAAATAAAGATTTGAATAGATTTTTGAAAATTTTAATTTCAATTTTACTTTAGATGATTTAATTATGTAGTTATCCAAGTAAATCACAATCTGGATTCAAAAACAAAAAAATAAATCGTAATCTTTTTATTTTTATATTTAAATTTGGTTAGATTTATTCATGTATTTATAAGACTTTGGTTTAAGAATCTCCGTCTCTGTTTTTCACTTCAATACATTCCAATTCTCCATTTTGTTTGCATCTAAACCGGAGGTACGTTTTTTTTTTATTGTATTTTTCTTTCGTTTTTTTACTTTAATCTTTGCAGTTAGATGTCGATATTAACTCCTTTCCTCTCAAGTTCTCAACCACGGGTATGTTTTACTTCAGTTTTTTCAAATCTCGCTATTTTTATTTTATTTTAACTTTGACAACTTTTTTTCCCCTAATTTTTGCAAATGCTAGGGGTCATGATTCAAAGTTTTTCAGAAAAATTATTTATAGTTTAGGGTTTATAGATATTTTAGTGCGTATAGGACAAAGTTCTGTTTTTGAAGAAAAACTCAAATTTATAGACCATTTTTATGGTTTATATAGGATAGGATAGTCCCTTAAATGTGTGTATAATGTAATTAACTTAGATTCCACTTATTTTAAGTCAACTAAAATATAGTTGTTTGAAAAACCGTCTTAAATGGTCCGTTGGAATTTAAGATTCTGATTTGTTTAGTTTTTGTGCAGAGATTGGTTTATAGGCTAAGAATGCTCGATGATTTATAGAATAAATTTAGATTTTATTTTAATAAAATATTACTCCTATATTTTGTGCGTGCTTTTCTAATTGTTTTATAGTAAATGGTATAATTACATAATTACGTTACGCTCGTAATAATTTATAAAAGAAATTAATTATTAATAGTAAAAGGGAAGGGGGCGGTGTCTGTTTTCAATGGGAGTCTTGTGCAAGTTGTCGTTAGTGGTGAAGAATTTAATAGAATTTGACAATGTCTCTTCCAATTCAATCGTTAAACATTCTCTGCCATTTTCCAGCAATTAATGGCGGCAATTCTGGGGCGTTTCTTCTGCTTTCCAATTCCTTTTATCTCTCTTCTTCTTCCTCCTCTTCATTTCAAAGGTTCGTAGTACTTGCCTCGACCTTTCTCAGTTTTGACCCGTCTATCGCCTGCCTGATTTTTGTTTGTTTCCGGGGAAAAGTCCTTTTCCCGCGAACCATAGAGGAAACATCTTCAATTCTCTTCTTTAATTTGTTGAATTTGTTCTTCTGGAGCGTGTCCTTCGGTTAGCTATTCTTTCTGTTGTTCCGGATTCTTTGTCTCCTGCGCAGTCGGCGAGAAGTGGATCTAATTTAATGTGCGTTTTGCTTCGATTTTGTTGCTGTTTTTATGTTTGTTGCTTTGTTTGTTTTGGATTCGGTGGAAGTGAGGATCTGCTGATCTAAGTGTACTATATCTGTATGAAATAGGGTCCCTTTGATTTTGCCTTTCTTCTCCTGACTACTTTTTTCCAGTTTTTATTTTTTTATTTAATTCGGCTTCTCTTGGAAAGATCATTGTTGTTTTGGCTTGAATTTTTGTTGGAAGATTTTGGACTCTTTTGTGGACTTTTTATTTTACTTATACAAAGGTCTAAGAGTTAATGATGGCAAAAACGTAAAGTTTTTCCAAGGAAACGCATCTCTGTCGCGATATTGTTTTAGATCTGAATCGTATAATTGAATACTATGCCAATGAAAGTGCTTAAGTAGAAGGGCTTGCACTTTGAGAATTGGCCTGCACATTACTCTTGGTCAGTCGATGTTTGTTGTATTTTCAAGCTTGTCCAGCTGCTGCATTCTCTTGTATGTAATTAAATCTGGAACGTTCTTGTAAAATTTGAAGTTTTCCTTTGAAACTTGTTGACTTTTAGGAGTTATTTTTCTTTACTTGTCATTTTGACTCCCAATTCACGTTCTGTTTCTTCTGCACCTACCGTTCATTATATGGTTAAAGTTCAACGTTATCTGGATAAAATATTATAACATTTTCGTGATTCTTTTTTGTCCTTTTATTTATTTATTTTTAGTCATTGGTACTTTGCTGACGGTAAAATTTGTACTACAGATAGTTTTGTTAAGCATCAAGATCAAGCACTTCTTTTTTTCTTTTGAATGAAGATTGAGGACTTAAACGACTGATTAAAGACCAAGTTATAGATTATAATGTCTTCACCCGGCAAGATTGATCAGAAGGCAACTCTTGATGCTGCCTCATGGATGTTCAATGTTGTCACATCTGTTGGGATAATCATTGTCAATAAAGCATTGATGGCCACATATGGATTCAGCTTTGGTGCGCATGATAATTCTCAAATCTATTTGAATAGTGTTTTCCTTTTTTTATTTTTGTTTACATTTCTACTAATGGGGTGCTTCACGTCTCATAGTTTCCATGGTATAGATGAAGTGAAGTGATCATTGTTTACAAAACATTATTCTTACATGTTTTATTTTTGTTCCAAATTTGACATTTTTTAATAATTTATTCATCATGATGCAGCTACAACTTTAACGGGCCTACATTTTGCCACAACCTCCTTGTTGACTTTTATTCTTAAGCAACTTGGTTATATTCAAGATTCTCATTTACCATTCCTCGACATTCTAAAATTTGTTATATTTGCGAACTTCTCCATCGTGGGAATGAATGTGAGCTTAATGTGGAATTCTGTTGGGTTCTATCAGGTAATTTTTTTGTTAACTGTTAACTGTTAGTTTCTTCCTTTGATTATTAGAATTAAGACATGTGGTTGTGTTTCTTCTCTCATTATCAGATCGCGAAGCTGAGTATGATCCCAGTATCTTGTTTTCTAGAAGTTGTTTTGGATAAGGTGCAATACTCAAGGGACACAAAACTTAGCATACTGTTAGTTCTACTTGGTGTTGGAGTTTGTACTGTCACTGATGTTAGTGTCAACATGAAAGGTTTTGTGGCTGCCATCGTGGCAGTATGGAGCACTTCCTTGCAGCAGTATGTAAGTAATTGCATTGTTAATCTTAAATTGGTGCAGCTGCATAAAATTATTTGAAATTGTGAATTTATTTTCTGCTATCTTGAAATTAGTTTAATAGGTGTGTATGATTGGAACTGTGACAGAATTAGTTTAACCTACTACTTTGTGTCATGGTGAAATTAATGTAGACTGATAATTTGGCTTGTATGGGCTTGTTCTGGGAGCAACTCTTCTTCTTCTAAAATGGTAGCCTTGCCTTTTTTCTTTGTGTGCAGTATGTACATCATCTCCAGCGAAAATATTCTCTTGGATCCTTCAACTTATTGGGTCATACTGCACCAGTGCAGGCAGCTTCTTTGTTGTTAGTCGGGCCCTTTTCAGACTACTGGTTGACTGGAAAGAGAGTTGATGCCTACAGATATACTTTTATATCCTTGGTAAGTTTTCTTATTTATTAATATACTCAGTAAGTTTTTGCAAGCTCTCTATGTAAGTTCTAAATGTGTAGAGTTCTAAGTTGATATGACACTCATTAGAAAGAAAAAAGGAAATATTGAAATATATATAAAAAGTACCAACGATTTTGTTGCTTTTTATCATTAATTAGGATATATTTTAATCTTAACCACAATAAACCACTTGTAGGCAAATTAAATTAAGAACTGCCATTTTCCTCATATGGCCTCTTACAGATGGTTATTGCTTATAATTTTGTCTACATGCCTAGATTATGATGGGGCGTGGGTTTTTTCAAAAACAACAAACCGTTTCATATATATGGGGACAAGTTGCAAAGAAATCTGATGACGTACATCCTACTAAAGCTCAAACCTTCTAAAAGCACAAACCCAAGGGCAATGTTTCCAAGAGAGAACATTTCCAATGAAACTTACAGAGAATCACCCCAAATCATTATTGATACAAGAGAAGAATTATTGGAAAAACCTTTTATCTTCAAGGCGAGATAATTAGTCGATCAATCTTGGGATAAAGGCTCCAGAGCTGTTTTTCGCTTGCCTGTTGCCTACTTTATTAGTATAGTGTTAACGAGCAAAAAAGCTGATGTGCTAATGCCTTTATGCCCTTGACATCTAATAAGAGCGTATTAGAGCCAATGGCGAGACACCCAAAGAGAACAATGGTATTTGGCTTTTTCAAACACATCTACCCAATCCTTTGCTGAACTGAATCATTGAAAACCCTATTATTCCATTCCAACCAAGGACTCCATAGTATGGATTTGACTGCACTGATGCATAAATTTCCGAGGAATCATCTCATGCCATGAGTGCTTTCCAACATTGCTTGTTTTTATTGTTGCACTATCATCTTGTGGCCACCTTCACGTGCACACGCACGCATATATATTGTATAAGAGAAAGAAACTTCACTGAAATAAAGAACCAAACCAACCTAACAGCTAACAAGATGAGACCTCTTACCAAGAAGGGATCAAACAAACATGCCCCAATACAAGATCAATAGTTACAAATCGTAGTGCGTAAAGCGCTTCAATTTGAGGCAATAAACAGCAGAATGTCACAAAAATCTTATTTCTGCCTTTCATCTTATTGATCTGGGCGACTAATGCAGTATAAGTCAAGTATTTTCTTTCACCTTGTTTCTGAGAGGGAGACCCAACGACCCATTGAAGCTTCCAAAGAATCTGTTAATGAGGCTCACCAAGTCTTTCCAGCCTCTTTGGTTTTCACTCAAAGTCAAAAGGAATGATGATATTAGACTTGCTTTTGTTGTTTCTTCAAACTTCTTCTCTCTTTTTTATCATTAACTCATTTTGCCAGAGGACTTCTTGAAGAATTTATGGTTCTAAGGGGTAAGAGCGTCATGGTTGACAAAAAATCAATTTTGGACTCGTAAAATTTCGACCTTCTTTTTAAAGAAAAGATTGAATCTTTGAATAGTGAAAGCCTGTTAAGATAAGAAATGCGTACTAAAAATGTTATGAGAAACCTGTTACTTTTATTTATTGTGCAAAACTGGATGAGACTAGATCTCTTAGGCAGAGAAAGGTCAAACTTGATTCCTTGTCAAAATGAACTGGAAAAATCTTCTTTTGCATACTACACTTGCATATAGTTGTTGAGGTCATGGTTGAAAAGGATAGGAGCTAGCTAACATACAAAGTCTTGTATAATGAGCAACCTTAGTGGTTCAATATTTCCTTGGATCTTGTTGGAGGCTGATAGCAGCATAAGACTTCCAGTGTATTCCACGTACACCATGAGGGTGAGTGGAAAAAAGGGAGACAATAATTAGTTAGTTATGGTGGAGGTGAACATTAGCGGAGCGGGTGTGGTCGTGGTCCCCAATTTTGTAACAAGACAGACGTGTAGGAGTGTATGGGGAGGGTCGGAGGGGGTATATGTTGTATGGGGGGTGGCCCTTGCATGGGCATTGGAGCGTTTTGGTATTTTATACTGAGTTTCTTCTAAGAGGAAGAATTCATGGCCTCTCCGGTCGTGCTTGTGTGTTCTGCTTCTGCATTTATTTTTAGTTATTGTGAACGATAGGGTCATCCGATACCTATCAGGGGCACTCACCTTGCTTGTTATGTGTTCGCAATTGCTTGAATCACCTGCACGAATCAAGAAAACTTTATTCCTGTAACATTACATAGATCTTGGTGACATCAAATTGTGTGTCAGTATTTCTTTCAAAGTGATGCTAATTTAATGACCGCAAAATGGAAATTTGTATAACTGCTTTTGTGCCTCTTCGTCTGCAAAAATACAGAAACTACTTTCTTGAAGCTAGTTGTTTGCTTAGCAATTGATTCTTACCAATGTGTATTTGTTTGCAGTCGTTCTTAATCCTTTCGTGTACCATTGCGGTAGGGACCAATCTCAGCCAGTTCATATGCATTGGTCGGTTCACTGCTGTGACATTCCAAGTGCTTGGCCATATGAAGACCATTTTAGTCTTGACCCTAGGATTCATTTTCTTCGGGAAAGAGGGCCTCAACTTACAAGTAATTATAGGTATGATCATTGCAATTCTTGGAATGATATGGTACGGCAATGCCTCATCTAAGCCAGGAGGGAAGGAGCGTCGTACTTTTTCCTCACCGAGCAGCAAAGCATTAAAGCACACCGGATCAGAATCTTCTGACCCTGATGAAAAGGTCTAGAGTTTGGTAGAATTTTTAGTTTTTATTTTTCCCCGCAATAATGTCCATCGAAGATAAAATAAAAAAAAGGGAAATGACATATAGAGAGAAAAAGAAACACTGGATATTTGACTTCAGCTGATTCCAGGAGATTCTTAACAGTAATTGGCAGGTCCCTCACTGATTTTAGTCCATTATAGCCTTTTTTTCCCCTTCTTTTATTCACATGAAAAGTATTCCATCTTTTGAAGGGATGCAACCCAAAGGTTCCCCCTACAAAAAGTTTACAATGTTACACAGACCACAGTTATGAATAGTAGATTTTTCCCTGCAAGAGATTTATCTCTCCATGTCCTGTCGCTGTTCCAACATTTTAGTTCATTGGTTGGCAATATTATTATCGTATGTTATGCTCTACTGTTTTAAATTTTCTTACTATATATGATTACCTTACCCCCTTTCAGTAGCCAAACATTAGTGGACCATTAGCTGCAGTCTGATTTCTTTAGATCCACCCACAAATTTATGCACGTGTGAAACATACCTTGTTATGTGTTTTGTGGGCTTTAAAGTGGAAGAAGGATCTTGAATTATTTGGAGGACTACAAGCATTAAGCTGTAGAGTTAGGAACCTCCTGTTGGTTCAATTACCGCGGTCCCTCTGAAACACAGTTCTGACTTCTGATCTTCCATTTTTTAACCCAAACACCTTGGATGCAGGCAATATAGAAGAACAATACCTATATTGGAACAATACCTATGTGGCAGTTCTTCTTTGAACAATGATGATGCTTTCTCTAGAATAGTAAACTTTATGCCTGATTTGAAACTTGTGGAGTTTTCATTTGCATATTGGAAAATTCCATCTCTCTCTCTCACTTCCCAACATGTTTTTTAACTACAGAAGATGCCTTGTTTGAGTATAATAGGAACCGAGCCCTCTTTTACACTTCTTTTCAATTTCACTTCTGTTGCTTCATTTTGGAGACAACCTAATTGTTTAGGTTGCTCCGAGTGATGGTTTCAGTTTCAGTCGTGGAGAAAAAAACAATTGAAATGGTTCATGGATTTGCTAAGAAAGTTTTGGAGAGAGAAAATTAGGTTCATTTCATATACAGCTGCCATTTGGGTCCAAGAATATGTCCCTTTTTGCCTCAGAGTGGCCATGGCTGCCTAAGATTTCGGTGCACAAAAATTGGACATTATCTACATTGATATTCCTTCAACATAATTATTCATCTCCTTTGCTTCCACAATTATCCTCCTTGTGTTTCATAGCTGAATATAGCTTTTGAGTTTTGAATAGTATATGCTACTGTTCATGTACTTTTTAGCAAATAATTTGAGAGAGAGAATGGAAAAAAAAAAAACAAAAAACCTAACATATCTTCAATCGAACAATAATTGAATAACATATCGCCAATATCAAATAATGAAAGTGATGTATCATGGAAAATACTGAAAATGCAATCAGTAAGATAGTTTAGAACTCAGTTTGACAATTATTTGTTCTTTATTTGTAGTTCTCAGAGAATAACAATCTAATTGTTGTGTTTGGTTGAAGTGTTTTAAGATAGGATAAAATGGTAATTAGACAAGATTATTTTCTGAAAATGTTTTGTTGAACAGATAGAAATATTTCTAACTACTGTGAAAATTGTATTATTTTAAACGATTTGGTGGATATAAGTTAGAATTAGGTTTGACTTCAAGTTTTAATTTCAATGCTGTGTTCTATTAATTATTCATTGAATAATGATGAAAGTGACAAAATTTCAGATATTGAAATGTGATTTTTTTTGGGTTAATTGTTATATATAACTTTTAATCATTTAAATCAAAACTTTTCAAATCGATTGAAGCTCTTCAAAAACAACTTGGAAAGCTCGTAGGGCTTCATGGGCCTCAATGAGCCAAATGTTGAGGGAATCAGACCCTTTTGGGTAAAATATTATTTTCATTTTTCATACGTCCGTTTTTTTTCTTACAAAATAAAAATAATGCAAATTATTGTGACTATTCACAAAAAGTATTTCACTTTTTTTTTTTGCACAGGTTTAAATAATTGGCAGGAAAAAAAAAGCATTTCACTATTTTTACTAATAACTGGTGATTTCTATTTAATAGCACCTTTTTTTTGGAAATAATTTCTAATTATTTTTTGCACCTTTTCTTTTGTTTTTAGTACAATAAATATGGAGTATGAGGAGTACGAGGATTCGAAAGGTTCATGTTTGTAATATAAAATGAAACTATATACTCTTTTGTACCAACAAAAAATATTAGATTACTTGCCAACATTAAGACGTCGAGAAAAATATGTATATCATAAATTGTCATAACTAATATAGAGATAATGTTGCTTCAAAAAAAAAGAAAAAAAAAATATATATATATATAGATAATGTATTAATATATCTTTTCTTTGTTTTTTTTATTTTTTGAAACAAATGTATTAATATATCTATGTTCTACCTCACTGACCATTCTATATACTTTCAAATTTGATTCCACAAGTTTTTAAAATATAATGCTGACATAAAAAATTTTCATCTATAAAATAATTTCGATATATTATAGCCCTCCCAGACATTATACTTATTAAATCTAATTTTTTAAATTTCATATACTTTTTATCATTAAAATATTTGGAAATTAATACATTCACGAAGTATATGATTAATACTTAAGATAATTAATAGTGAAGTACACAATTATTTATATATTGTAATAAATTGATATATTTTATAATATAATTGAGATTCACAGTTATTGAATATATAGATCATAAAAAAAAGTAATATATAGTTTTTTTAAAAAAAAAAAATATAATTAATATCATCAAAAAGTACATCAAATTAAATTTCTCAAAATAAATAAATGCTTCAGGAGCTTTTTAAAATCAACTCATTAGTTACTTTATTAATGTTTTTTTTTGACAGAATTACTTTATTAATGTCATTCAAACTAAAAAGGTAAAAAATTAATTTTAGTCCCTACAATATTCCCATTCCTAACCTGGTCCCTAATATCAAAAAATAATTCTCTTTGCCCCAAATTCAGTCTTTTTCTTAAAAATCAAAATAATATTTAACGAATTAGAATTTATTAATTTTAGAGCTACATATTTTTCAAAATTGAAATAATTACCAACAGTTAAGTATTTTCTTTTGTCCTTTTAAAAAAAGTATTTTCTTTTATTTATTTTTCTTTGGGTTAAAATTTGAAATAAAGATAAACTGTTAAATTTCCCTCTTTTTGGGGCAGATGAGAGTCAATGAAGCAATTGGAAACCAGCTTTGGGCATATCCCATCACTTTCAATCTGATCTCTACACTAACTATGGTTAGATCCACAACTTATCTCAACCTTCGAATTGAGTTAGGCCGATCAAAAAATATTTTACATCCATTCAAACGAGTTTACAATCTTTTTTATTTTTTAGAATTGATGTCGTATGGCTTACACGGATTGGATCCCTATAATCGAGGCTCTTTAAACAAAGCACAGAGTTTGGACTTGAAACGTGGAAAAGCACCTCAAGCTTCTCACCACTACATCCACGTGGCACGAAATCAGTTTATCACTCAATCTAAACCAAGAATTTTGAATAGTAAACAACACAATAAAATTATTGATTACTTCTTGTTATCTCGAAATTGACAAAGTTAGATCGAAAGTACCATTTTTATTACAATCACTACTACAATATTTGGAATAGACCAACTTGAAATGAATTGAACTAACCAACCTTATGTTCGAGATCGAGATCGAGGATGATGGGTTAAGTAGTTTTTTTCCCTCTCACTAAAAATGGAATACATTTATCCCAAAAATAATATTGGTGGGTCAAGAAAGTCCCAAAAAGTGATGGGTCTCGTGTGGCTTATTGATTTTATTTAATTATTATTATTCTACTATTCATCAGTACTTTCATACAAAGAAACACCAAAAAGAGAGTTAGACCCACACCCTCTTTCAATTTCTTCCCTTTTCATTTAACCTAATCCAAACCCACCTAATCATCTTAACCAAGTTTAATTTATTAATCCAATATCATTGGACCCTACCCCACATTCAATGTCTTACTCCTATTAAATCTAAGGCTAAATTACAAGTTAGATCTCTAAACCTTGGAAGGTGGCTAGTAAGTCTCCGAACTTTCAATTTTATGTTTAATAGGTTCCCGAAGTTTGAAAAGTATTTAATAGGTCTCAGGCATATTAATTTTTAATTCATGAATCTATTAGACATAAAATTGAAATGTCAGGGTCTTATGAAACAAAATTGAAAGTTTAGAGACTTAGTAGAAATCTTCAAATTTTAGAGGCGTATTAGACAAAAAAAAATTGAAAGCTGAATGACCTATTTGACATTTTTTAAAGTTTCAGAGACTTATTGACACAAATAGACTAAACTTGTAATTTAACCTAAATTTAATTATTCGATTAATAAAATATTAGATGATATTTATCACAAGTAATTAAGTTGTTTATGTTTATGTACTAAAAAAAAAGTTGTTTATGTTTAATTTTTGTTGCAATATCTAATATTCTTTCTGGCATAAAAGACTACTAACATGAGAATCATAATAGTAAAAAGGCCACAATATATGCTATTTGAAGATAACTTAATTGATAAAAAGACTACTAATCTATATTTTATAACTCAAAAGTTTGAATATCCGCTTCAATTATATAATATAATATTAAAAAAAAAAACAAGAAAAAAAAAGCCAGGATATAAAGTTAAAACTTTGCCATTTTTTTCTTAGCGGCCTTTTCTTAAGATATACTTTATTCTCGAATTCTTTTTATCTATATGTACATAATCGTAAACCTTATATATAGCTTTAATTCTTACAACTTTGTTTATTTTTTTTTTCTATTTTGATTTTTTTTACTTTTAAAATTAAAAATTTTGTTTTACAACTCTGATTTATTTCCTATCAACAACAAAAGGATAACTTCTACTAAATAACAATATAGCTCCTAATAATGAAGGAGAATCTCACAATAGGTGATTTGAGTAAAATAAAAGGATTAAGATTGAGATTTCTTAAGCTACCGATGTTAAGATTATACTTATGAAAATAAAAAAATGTTAAACATGTGAACAATATTTAGTGTTGACTGTCAAATTTCTAATGATGATAATAAATACATTAGTTAAATATTTTTCTATTCTATAAAAATATGTATGTATTATAGCAATCAAAATAAACACAATTCAACAATTATTTCTTTCGAAGGTAGAGATTCAAACCTCGTAGCTCATTTTATTGTACTACAAAATAATATGATAAATTAATAACTTTGGAAAAAAAAAAGAGAATATGGTTAGAAAATTA